GTATGAATATAATATACAAGTTTCACTTTTTAAATGGAATTACTGAAATAAATCTACTTTTTCATGATATTCTAATTTTATGACCAGCACCTGTAATGGTTCGCTGTAGTCTTTTGACAGTAAATGATCATTATTGCTTRTTGCCCTCAAACACCTAATAATTTTTTTATACATACCATTTGCCAATTTAAATAGCCCTGCTTTAAATATTAGCATGTTCAAGATTACAGCTATTTTAAAACWACAGCGAGCCACTTTGGTATCAGACTAGCCATTAGCTTGTCAGTTCTATCAGAATTTACTTCTTTCCCCAAATTGAGGTTTTCCAAAAAGCCAAAAGTGGGTAAAATTTTGAATATTCATCCACAAAAATCCTGTTAGTTTTATGAAACCAGGTAGAGTTTCATCTAAATACTGTATCAGTTGGATTCTCATCGTCTGATTTAATGTACAACGAGTATCATTTTATAAAGCACATACAAACGTCTGGTTAAAGCTGTAAAAAGGCATCTCACCTGTTTGCATTCCCTTCGACACTCGGATGCGATGGCTAACTCACAGCAGCCGAGCCCAACCCAGCCTTCAGACTTCTTGGAAACACCTGGAGCAGAGTCAAACACGAGAACCAAACAGAGTCAAACATCTCTGTGGGCTGGCCTCACACACGGACACTGACACGGGCCTTGATTAAAAGCCATAAATATGCAGATTATGTGGGTTTTTGGTGACGTTTCATTTCTGCAAAGTGGGTGAGCTTTCAAAGCAGTGCAGTCACTGAAGCTGGTAGGCTGAGGAGAATGTTTACACCACCCGAATAAATCAGAAGAAGGTGCTGAACATCAGAGGATCGATAACATCACAGACATCTGAGGAAAAGTTAACAAGTTAAACCTTTACAGATTCCCGAGACAGTCGACACACCGGGGCTTAGGAGGTCCAAAAGGTACAAAAAAGTGCCTTCCAATCTGGAGGCTATTAGACCTCTGACAGGCAGGAGAAGCAGCAGGATTCAGGCCTTTGATCCACAAGGATTTAAGAGTCCAAGTATTTCTTTATTTGAATGAACATCAGTCCAGTTTTCTTTTACAAACCAGTTAAAAACTGTGTCTATTTCACATTAAACAAAGCAGCCAAACACATCCATCTATCCTGGTGCAAACAGTAAAACCAGATTCAGAAAAAAGACAGCTGTTTATAATTGGACCTCTGGAGGGCACCAAAGCTGGAACTTTTTAAGCTCATCATAGCTGGTCTTTATCTGCTCACAYGTCTTACCTGGGAGTGTAGAGTTGATGCACATCCAAAGTTCATTCTACAGATGGGAAAAAAGAAGATGGCTCATATCAGAGTCGCTCAAACAGACTGCTCAAAAAGTTAAAGATGTGAAAAATAACTTGTTTAAACWTTGTAATTAAAGCACACAGGACGCATATACTTAGTGCCAAAATGTAACAAGGAGTGTTTTAAAACTATCTTTGTTGCTGTGCCATCAGCTTTTTTATTTGATTTAGCAYATTTTCAAAATTCCTTGAAAAGCCTTTAATCCCATCTTATCTCATTATTTTCATCTTGTTGTAATTGGTTTTAATCTTATTTTATCTTTTTATCTCATTTTATCTTGTTATCCTGATAKTATTTTTAAGATGGGGAAGTATTATCTATGTGATGGACTTGTGACCTGTCCAGGGTGTACCCTGCCCCTCGCACTGTGACTGGATATGAGCACCAGTGACCCCCGTGATCCRGAAAGGAARAAATGGRTATAGATAATGRATGGATGGATACATGGAAGCATTATCTATTCTTAGGTATTGTTCACCTGGTCACTTTCAATCATGTTGTGTCTATGTCATATGTCTTGTTTTTGGAAGGAAGCCAACTCAAATCTACCTGCAGATATAAAGTTGAYTGATTGATTAATTGAAACCAAGAATGTTGTATTGGATGGAAATGTTATTAATAATAAAAGGATTCTGACTAAGTGATCACATTAATCTGTGCACTAAAGCAATGTATGTGTGCAATAGTACACTGCAGGTCCAGTGATGTAGCAGGTGATCTAGGGACTAAACCAYTAAACCGTAAGYCATCGCACTAAACGGTCGCATGTTACRCCTTTTATTTTGACGGGTTGATTCCTCCGGTGGAAGTGGGTGGCTTTGTGTCAAACAAGCYAAAACTTTCATTTTGTTGTGGAACTTCTGGGACAACAATGGCAACATTTTTCAGAGAAGTGTTGGGGAATTCTTGAGTTGTGGMGACAGATGACGAGGATGTTGATGAAAACGAAGAAGATGCGCATATTTGCAGGGGACATCAGGGAAACATGTAAAATACAGTTAAAGTATGACGGAAACAGAAACTAAGACAGTTTTATTTATAATTTGACATGTTAGCAGTGTGATAATGCTGCTAATTCTGCTAATGCTGCTGAGGATAGCATTTAAAATTTGACATTTATTTAACCTTTAAATATAAAATTGAATAAAAATTAGCAAAATGTAAGAAMAGTGAGCTAAATAACAAAAATTCCTGTATTTTTTCATATCTCAATGTATGTTGCAACGTTAGAAAAATCAGCAATGTTAGTTTTTTCTAATAGATATGTGTGACAGTTTAAATGAGTTAATGGTCACAGCAGAGCAGAGGTTTGCGGCTTCTACGCTGTAAATATCAGTGGGTGTGGATTATGAACAGAACATGCTGTCTTCAGCTGGACTCGCCCTTAACTTTATTGGAGCTTTATTAGATTAAGCTGGAGCCTCTGTTCTACTTCAAAAACTTTGATTCACATCGTTTGGGTCTGAGTTAGAGGACTATCACTTTCTTGTTATGATAAATCCATGGAGCGAGGACAAGGAACAGACTAAATCCAAATATCTTTGGCTTCTACAACTTTTTCATCAAAGGAATAGTGTAAACATCAGCTGAATGGGGTGGGGGG